AATGTTTGTTATTGTTTTTATAAATATAAGTTTATTATTTAAAAAGATATGCAGCTTTTAATTTATCTCAAAACTTATGAACACACGAGGTAATAACTTTACCTATAAAGTTTATGAAAAGCTAGGGCTTGAGACATTTACCTATAAAAATAAATCATTCAAGTCAGAATGCAGACCAGACTAGCATTTAATATACAAGTATCGATTCAAATCGACATGAGAGCTGCTACAACATGATCACAAAGCCTGTGAACGGATGCTGATGAAGCGATATGATGGACGCGGCACTACCATGGGAAGTGCATACTGTCGGTGCTTTATTAAGGATTAAGTACATTATCTACATAGTACCTAGATTCGCAGAAATATTTATGTATACGCCTGTATTTTTTTAAGGGGTGAAAATCATCAAATGTCTTCTCCCGCCTAGGCGGGAGGAAGTGTCAGACTTTTACTGACTAAAAACCACCCCATTCCTACTCCTGCACTTCAAGCCGGAGCCCCGGTAACCCGTTAAGTCCTCCGCTGCTCCGTATCGGCCCTATTGGGCCCCATCTGTGGTGGTCTGATGGCTCTTTGAGCGGAACGCGACGCACCGCACGCTCGGGTCTGTTTCTGGTCGGGCGGCGAGCTACGCATGTTCGCCGTCTATCCGATTTGCTGCGTGCATGCGTGCGTGACTGCCGCACGCAGCAAATCTTTCTGTGATCCACAAATTGTTGTTTCGGGGCTGAGTGTCATGTGTATGTGAACTTGAGCGTATGTCCTAGTGTGGAGCAACGTATTTTTTAAATATTTCATTTGTTTGTGTACCTACATGAAGTTTAAGTAAATAAATATCCTTTTGAAAATAAAATGAAGTCTTATTTCAGTGAAATGGTTTATTTCCAGGATTTAAGGTACTTTCCCTACATGTTGTATTGTTGTCGTACAACCTGCTTAATATATGTTTATAGTTTCATAATCTATACAATTATGATTTGACGTCCATAGACACGGATCAAGGATTTGGTTTGCACAATCTTAACTCGTTTTTATTTGGTTAATCTTGCACCAAAGTGATAAGCTATTGACGTAATCTACTAATATATCGGCGCTGGCGCATTGACGATTGCTTGTTATCGGATCTAAACAGGTAATGATGACACTGACTATTTCATTAATATAAAAAGTTGGTTAGCTGCTGGGCTTTCAATTGGGTTCCATTGCCCGTAGATTTGAGCTTAGTCATATTTCATCTAATGCTTCAGTTCAAAAATACTTGTTCAGGTAGGTTTATTTATTTTTTTATTTTTTTTTAACGTTGGCCCACACTAGGATTTTCTCCTGTGTCGTGGGTGCATTTACAGACATACAAGTTCACATACACATCACACCCAGACCCGGAACAACAATCTGTGGATCACACATAGAGTTGTTCCGTGCGGGAATCGAACCCGCGACACGTTGCGCGGCAGCCAGTTGCCCAACCACTGCGCCAATCGTGCAGTCTAAGTTGGGTAAGTTGTCGAATACCACTCGTAGGTCAGCGCGCTAACGCTACTCCTTAACCCACCAATTCCCTGCAAAGGTTAAAGTTAATCCAGGATTCCAGGGTCACAAATATACAAGCTATTTGATCGCATCACAAAGAGCACCCTCTGGTGTTCAAACAGTGACTCAGTTGGTCAGCAGGGTCATTCAGAGGTAAGTTGATGTAAGTTGCGTTGGATTATAGAGCATTATAATACTCTATAGAGCAGACTTTTTTATGGAATTTATTAACTGATGACGTGTGGTAAGCATTCGGCGCCGCCCATGGACATCTCGAATACTAGAGCTGTTATAAGTGCGTTACCGGTCTTTTGGGGATTCGGGAATTGTGGTAATTGGGCCTCCGGTCTCACTCCACGACGAAACACGACTGACTGTGGTATCACTCCGATCGAGCCGGCCTATTCGTGCCGAAGCATGGCTCGCCTACATTTAAATAATAATAATAATAAGTTTATTTCAGACTGTACATGATATGTCCATAGGTTTGTTAGTAATGGTGTGTTAGTAACAAAGAGTGCTTAAATAATTGGTTAGTATTGTTAGTTATTACAATCTTATATTTGTATTATTAATGACTGTGGCCACCCAGTGTCTCTGCAAGGGACAGTCCGGTCTGGCAGCAATCATCGTCAAAATGCTGTTGTCACTACCATGCAGGTGCCGCAGTAGGGATGCCGCTTTCTTACGCATGATGGCGTGGAAATCATCTGTGCGAGCCTCTGCGAACATTCCCGACGCGCTACAGCGCCATGGCAGTCCCAACAGCATCCTGAAGGCATTATTGAATTGGACACGCAGGACACCGTAAGCTCGCCGCGTGTAAGACACCCACAGGCCGCTCGTGTAAAACGATTGACAGAACGCCTTGAAAAGGGTTACTTTGACGGAATTAGTACAACGAGCGAACCTGCGGACGAGCATATTGCTTCTCACAGATAATGCCCTGCGCTCCCTCTCAATATCTCCATCGTCCCTTAAGACACTTGTAACAACGTGGCCAAGATACTTAAAACAGCTAACAATTTTTAATGCCACTCCGTTGAGACTTACGGGTGGAACACTGCGTGGTTGTTGCTTGGGTGCTTCAAATACGAGGAGCTCACTCTTCCTCGAGTTATATATCAAGCCGTGTTCCTCCGCATAGGCCTCGCAGACTGACAGCAGCTTTTTCAACCCACCTATCGATGGACTGAGCAGTACCATATCGTCCGCATAACTTATATTATTGACACATGTTCCATCAATATGGCAGCCAACATGTGTACCGCTCAGTCGCTCGATAAGCTGGTTAATGTACAAGTTAAATAGCAAAGGCGAGCTTAACCCCCCTTGTCTAACTCCGCATTCTAGTCTGTACTCGTCTGACAGAGTACCTACCCACCTCTGATTAAAGACTGATTTGGTAAGTTTAACTGACTGACCTGATCATAGTCCAATAACTAGAATTGATTTAACTACCATCCCAACATATTCGAAGATGGCGTTCTCACGCGTTTACTCGCTTTTTACACAATATACAACCATGTAGGTATACATAAAGGTATAGTTATGTGTGTATGTACATACAATGATTCAATATTAGTTGACAGAGTTCATTCATACAAATCTTCACATAGTTTAGTAAATACAAACACGTTGTGTAAATTTATTCGCTCTGTTTAACTCGTCGAGTACCGGTTTTGCAGACACAATTATAGAACAATAGGTTGCGGTCACCGGTGACCGCTTGGTGTTTGACAGTTTAAAGTTGTTTGATGTAACATCATGCCTATTAATTATTAAAGTACTTAAATTTCTTGGCAGTTTTATTATACATCCTTTATAATAGAGATTACTACATGTTCTTGTAGATATACTGGACACAGTCCATGAAGCTATTGATCAGAATTTCATGTTCATCATGATGTGTGTATTGCGCTGTGTTTCTGTTTTGTGTACCTATTAAATAAATAAATAAAAATAAATAAATTTTTCATTATCATCATCATCATCATCAACCTGAAGACATCCACTGCTGAATAGGCCACCCCTTTAGTCCTCCACGGCGAACGACAGCTCGCCACCTGCATCCACTTTCTCCGACTGACGGTATTTAATTTGAACGAAATTACAGGTTAATATTATTATTATCTAGCTATTTAGTGCTACAAAGCGATGGTAGTTACTCCTATTTGAATATTTAAGAAGTTAAGCAGACCGACTAGTGTTCACCGACATTGAATACTTTATAACTTTAGTTTTTCTTTATTATGTACTACTTAAAAGATTTTATTACCTACTTACTTACTGTAGTGTGTCGAATGATGTAATAATTATCTCATATTTATACGTTTCCTGACTATAACATTAGCATGGACTGGACGGTCGGCTGGTCCACCGGCAGCTGTGTTACATGTGGCGGGTTTGATGCCGTCACACGGAGCAAATATTAGTATGATCCACTAAATGTTTCTACATCAGCACATCACTTGGAACATGTAGACACATGCACTATGTGCTACTCAGAATTTCTAAAGAAAACCTTTTTAACGCTATGGAATCGAATATCAAGCCTTCGTGGTCCCGCCCTGAGGACACGGTGGAACACACGGTGGGAGAATGCCCTGCGTGGGCTGAGCACCGCCGTGCCCTCAGGGAAGTGATCGGCGATGGCGACCTCTCGCGTCCGGGCCTAGTGCGGGCCATGATGCGGAGCGAGGGGGACTGGGATGCCGTCTCCTCCTTTTGCGAAGCAGTCATGCTAGCTAAGGAGGAGGCGGGACGCGTGAGGCAGCGAAGCGCTGCCTCCTCGCAACCCAGCCATCGCGAAGGACACACCGGGCGTCGGGGATCGCGGGACGATCTCCGGCCACCGTAAGCGCGGGCCTGCGGACGGCGAGCATGGGTGGCTCCCCGTCCGACCAGAAACAGACCCGAGCGTACGGCGCGTCGCGTTCCGCGCGCGCCTCAAAGAGCCATCAGACCACCACAGATGGGGCCCAATAGGGCCGATGCCGATTCGGAGTCGCGGAGAACCTAACGGGTAACCGGGGCTCCGGCTCGACGTGCAGGAGAAGGAACGGGGTGGTTTTTAGTCAGTAAGAGTCTGACACTCCCTCCCGCCTTACCCAGACGGGAGCAGTCATTCGATGATTTTCCAAAAAAAAAAAAAAGCCTTCGTGGTCATAATTATATTAGTCTTAGCAGGTACCCTTGCATAGGTATTATATCGAAAGGCGAGGTCGATCAAGTATTACTAGGTTTATTTAAAAATATCTCAGTAGAAGCACGGAGTCTGGAATTGTGCCCGGCATATGGCAATAGACTCACCCCTATTACATAGGACTCATAACATAAATAGTAAAAAGTGGGTGTTACATTGTAATGTGCACCTCTGCCTACCTCTTCGGGGATAAAAGACGTGATGTTGTGTCGATCTTAATCCCATAAACCTAGTATAATCCCATAAATATCAAGATTTCGCCTTCGTTTTGTTAATGTACTGAGAAAAATCATACGAAAATTCTCAATAACACTTTGACCAACCCAACCAAAACACGCATAAATAAATATACAAATCGGAATGACAAAGTGGAACGACATCAATAATTACATACAGATTCAAGTTGAACATCTAAGTGGCCGAGACCTCGTCCAGTTACCTTACACCCGCCCGCCACAGCGAGCGTGAAGATTGCCTACCAACTTGGAAACTAGTGCTCAATTTTATTACAATATTTTTGAAAAAGAATATTACCCCTAAACTAATTTTTTCGAGTCTTGGTGTGTGAAATTATATCTATATTTATAAACTTATCCACGGTATAGGAAAAAATATAGTATTGTTAACATTAAAAAGAGATTGTTTTTTTTATATTTCGGTACTTGAAGCATTAATTTAGTGCATTTGTGGAGTCGAGTCGCACGTTGTGCGGCAGTGCATAGAGCAGTCAAAATATGAAGTGGATTCTCTGTTTTTTAAGTGGTATGTATTGCAATCATTGTTTATGGCGCGCTAGTAATATTTTGTATTTGTTCAAATTAGTTTCTTAGTCGATGTTAATTTTAAAGTCCCTATATATTTAGTTTTAAATGTGGGAGAGCCATGCTTCGGCACGAATGGGCCGGTTCGACTGGAGTGATACCTCCGCCTCAAAGAAAAACGACGTGAAACAACTCTTGCTTGGTGTTTCGTCGTATAAGTAAGATTACCGGAGGCCCAATTATCCTCCCCTCTGCCCAATCTGCCCAATCCCTGAATTCCCCAACAATCCTCAAATTCCTAATCCCTAAAAGGCCGGTAACGGACTTCTAACATCTCTGGTGTTCCGGTGTCCATGGGCGACGCCGATTGCTTACCATCAGGTGACCCGCCTGCTTGTTTATCGGCTTATTCCATAAATAAAATTATACTGGGAAACCCTTAAAGGCTTTTTTGGGGGAAAAAACTAGGGAGTGTTGGATTCCTACCTCATTAAACTGTCAAACACCAAGCGGTCACCGGTGACCGCAACCTATTGTTCTATAATTGTGTCTACAAAACCGGTACTCGACGAGTTAAAACGGTGGCCATCATCATCACTATAGGCCACGGGGTCCTCTAATATACCTGCTCCGGAGCACCCATACCTATTACTACCTACTGAGCTATTATAAATAGGAAAGTTTATTTATGTCAAAGACTACCTCTCCTCTCGTCTTCGTTAGTAAGTACTGGAGGGATGATAATTATTTTTGTATCACAATTATTTATTATGCATCTGTTGTGCCCTATGTACATAATCATGTACCTACTATCTAAATTAGTGGGTACTAGAAATTAGGTATGGTTTTATGAATTAAAGACTGCCTCAATGGTTGAGTGATCGCAATCGCGACTGCCAAACAAGGAGTCTCGGATTGCTTTCCCGGGTAAAACATTATAGCTTTTCGGTCTTTGTAAATATTTAGTAACTAGTTACTTCTGCGCGGTTTCACACGCTCTGCTCAGCTTCTATTGGTCTTAGCGTGATGTTTTATAGCCTATAGCCATCCTCGATAAATGCGCTATCCAACACAAAAATAATTATACAAATTAGACTTGTAGTTACGGCGATTGGCGCGTTCAAACAAACAAAAAAACAAACTCTTCCGCTTTATATAATAGTATAAGAGTATGAGATAAGATATAAGATAAGCTATAGCACAGTGTGTGGAGTTGTGCCCTATATCTTTAACTAGTTTCTGCCAGCGGCTTCGCCTGCGTTGCCTATGTGTTATACCGGCCCATAATCTACCCTTATTCCAAATCTCATCTCGATCCCTTCAGCTATTTCACGTGGAGAAGTAACAATTACACAAAACGAGAACAAACATACTAATTTTCACATTTAAAATATTAAGTAGTAAGATTATGGCAATAGACTCACTACATGGGCCTGCGGACGGCGAGCATGGGTGGCTCCCCGTCCGACCAGAAACAGACCCGAGCGTACGGCGCCGAGCGTTCCGCGCGCGCCTCAAAGAGCCATCAGACCACCACAGATGGGGCCCAACAGGACCGATGCCGATTCGGAGTCGCGGAGAACCTAACGGGTAACCGGGGCTCCGGCTCGATGTGCAGGAGAAGGAACGGGGTGGTTTTTAGTCAGTAGGAGTCTGACACTCCCTCCCGCCTCACCCAGGCGGGAGCAGTCATTAGATAATTTCCCCACTAAAAAAAAAAGACTACATAATACATGGGCTACATAAAATAACTAGTGTCCCTAAAATGGAGAATAAAAAGAGCCACAATAAGGAATGATATGTTTGCTTATCCAATACTTTCAAAAATAGGTACCTACAAGTAACGTTTATGACATCGGGTAATGCCATAAATTGTATTTTATTTTAGTAGGTCAAGCTTCAATTGTCGTTACATAAATACGTTTCGTAAAAATATCAAAATTACCGACTTAATACGATCGTAAGTGCAGTTGTAAATTGCAGCTCAAATCATCGTTATTATGTTTATTGATTTGTTACCTCATCTCTTATTATACTGACTCAGATTCAGGGTCCAATATTTAAAACTGGGGTATTTTTTTTTTTAAGGGGCGAAAATCATCGAATGACTGCTCCCGCCTGGGTGAGGCGGGAGGGAGTGTCAGACTCTTACTGACTAAAAACCACCCCGTTCCTTCTCCTGCACGTTGAGCCGGAGCCCCGGTTACCCGTTAGGTTCTCCGCGTTTGAAACTGGGGTATAGGGTCATACCGTACTTATAGTTTAACGACGTCAAAAACGGTGACTGCACGTTGGCGGGATGGCTGAACAATCAGCTGCTGCGCAACGTTGGTCTGGGTGTCATATGTATGTTTGTGAACTTGTATGTTCGTTAACGCACTTACGATACGAAATTCAAGTGTAAGGCAACATAGTTTTTTAATAGAAAAAAACTTTGTATTAAAAACAGAGGTTTCCAATTCAACTGCAATCATCTTCTACTTTAAATCGTAAGACTTTAGGCTCATGTGTATGTAAATGTAAAAGACATGTTTTATGAATAGTATTTGCATAAATTGTTACGCCAAAATTGCTGAGACGATTAAGATGAACTTTGATAAACATATTAGAAATCCTACTCATATTATAAATTCAGTTTGTATGTTAGTTTGGTACTCCGTCACGTCGACACGGCTGAAATTTGGAACTGGGGTACATTATGCTCTGGAATAATACATAGGCTATTGGCCTTTAAGGTGTGGCGTCGCACTATCAGTAGATATGCATGCATAATAATGCATGGGGCACACTATTAGTATTGTGAATAAAATATTGATATTGTTTATGGTCGCCATTGGCCGTCTATGGTTTTCATTTCAACTCTGTGACACTGTAGGCGGTAATATTTTTCATGGACAAGTTCTGTCATTGAATTCCCCACGAATTTTATTTATTTATTAAAACTTATGTATATTGAACATACGATGACAGACTTAATGCCGGGTGGCATTCTCTCAGTCAACCATGGGGTGATGCAGCGATGTGCACAGTTTAAACGTCTGCCTCTAAATTATTCGGCGCACAACACCAAAAAGGTTATGTTTTTCGGTCTCTTTGGCTGGATTTTAGTGCTACATTGTTCTCGCACAATCCAAACAACAAAACTATGTAACTAGAGAATTGTATTGTGAACCTGATTGAAATAGAGTAACCTATGGAGTTCCTTGCTCGTTCTTCTCCATAGGAATTTACACCTTAATTGAGCAAATAGCTTCACTTATTTTTTTTGTTGTAAATATCTTTCTGGTCTAATTGAAATAAATGATTTTGACTTTGACTTTGCTATTTTTGGTCCTACGGAAATGCGACCTTAGTTTAATTTGAGTCTTCGATACTGGCAGTATAGTCGAGAACACCGTTTTGGAGACTGTTGCAAAATTTGAGTGTAAGTAAGGAAAGAACTGTTTCATCAATTCATTGTTATCATTATCACCGTGGTCGTCACCTGTAGGCCTCGCTAACAACAAAAAAGAAGGTTCATAGTGTGACGTGTACGCATGAATTTTTGTGCGCCATTAGCTGAACCGATTTTGATGCGGTTTTCAGTAAAGTGTTTGTTTCACGTACGAGAAGGCTTTAGTATATCAATTCAGTTTTTTTAAACGTACTTGATTAAAGAATCATTTAATTAATAGGGTTAAAATTTTTGTCCACACTCGACAGGCGAATGATTATGAAGAGCTATTTATTTCATTTCATTATGTTAATAAAGTTTTTCTTTTGTTTATCAAAGAATTGACAGGAATCTGACGGAAACAACTTACCTAATTGAAAGCAATTTGTAAGCAAAAGATATAATAGATTAATAAAATTATTATTATTAGATATTTATCACTTTATGCTCTTTGGATACGACCTTTAAGTATTGTCTGACGTAAATAACAAGGATACTAAATGTAACAAACAATTACAATACATAATACTTCTTTGTAATTGTTGTAATTGAGTAAAGGGTGTACGTTTCAAAGACCCCTTATGAAGCTCCCTACAGAGATAACGTCTGTGCTGTTGAGCATTGATCATGACAAGCATGAATGTCGAGCAAGGCATCTCAGGTTAGATAGATTGAGCAAAGGAGTATTGGATTCTCATATACGATAAAAGACTCATGTCTGACATAAGAAGTGAATGCTGGGTGTCAATTTTACAGCAATTCTGCTTAGCACTCCAGGAAATAAAAATCAAAATCTAAGTCAAAATCATTTATTTCATTTAGATCAGAAAGGCACTTTTGAAAGTCAACATAAAAAATCAAAAGTGAAGCTATTTGCTGATTCCAAGGTGTAGATTCCTATGGAGAAGAACGAGCAAGAAACTTCAAAGGTTACTCTTTTTCAATCAGGTTCACAATACAATTATCTATATAGTTACATAGTTTTGTTGTTTGAATTGTGCGAGAACAATGTAACACTAAAATGCAGTCAAAGAGATCGAAATAAAATAACCTTAAAGGACAGTAAAAAATACAGTCTGGAGCTGTCCAGTCCCAGTTGACGGCGCCTGTTTACGAACATGACACGTACACCAGCACCGCCCAACTCAACCATATTGTAGGGAATCTAGCGATCCACTGCACGTGCCACCGCCAGTTATACCTTTGAGTGAGCATGACAACTCCAAGCTGACACAAACGTATTCTACTAGTCTAATTTAATATTTAGTTAATTACAGGGCTCTCACATTTACAATGATTAGATATGAAATTTAAACAATATACAAATGAGCTACATAGCTATATTAATTACATGTTTGGATTTCATTAAAACATCAATGTTTTTCGTTGCCCTATGGAGCCGGACTAGCTTGCATCCAAGCATTTTTATCCTTGATATCAACCGTGGTATCATATTAATATCTTGAATAGAAATAACGATGTTTTGTAATGGGGGCTACCTTATCTCTGCACACCAGCTGGCACAAATGCAGGAAGAGGTTTTTTCTGTCCAATCATAACAGCTGTCAAATAATGAACGTCCAATGGTGCGACATTAGCTAATTTGTGCGCCGTGGGCTGGAGCCTTCGTGCCTGGGCCATCTAAGCTGAGCTCCATCCTTTTGCGCTGCGACGCACCATGGGCTTTTTGTGTGTACCTGTATCCTTGTTGTGTGTCGTGGCGTAATAAATGTATTCCCTATAAATTGGACGAAAGACGAGATGCGCACACTAGCGTCACCTGCAGCTGTAGCCAAATGCCATTTAGCGCTTGTCTACATGTGGAATAGAAAACCAAATTATATGGAATTGACGTAAATTTTGACACTTGTCAGTGTCATCCTCATACATTTCGTTTTCTACTCTCTCTGTAGACAAGCGCTAAATGGCATTTAGCTACAGCTGCTGGTAAGAAAAATTTCATTGTACGGATGTTTTTAAAAATACAACGCAATACAGTTGACCCTGGCACATTCTACAATGCTCAAAATTATAACATTGTTGTACAAAATTATATTTAAATAATACCTAATTATGCAGCCACTATTCTAAAATAACAATTATAATATTTACAAAATGAAAATGGCTATGACCTAGGGATTACACGTTAGATAGAGACCAGAGGCCTTAGTACGAGTTTGTTTTACGTATAAAGTAATCAAAATGACACCGCGTTTGCGCGCTCCGATTGGTTGGTTCATTGGAGTCTGCCAATCAGTAAGTAATTAAGTAATCGTATCAATAAGTCTGAGCTGAGTCTATCGTTATCTTTAAAAGACGAGCGAGAGAACACTCCTTTCCTCCTGATATGTAAATTTCTTCATTTAGATGTATAGTTTATAGGTACTTCTGTATTTAATTATTTATATATTGTATGTATTTATTTGGTTTTTTTATCTCTTTAGTTTAAGTTTTAAGTCTGTTTCCTATCTCAATTTTCTATTTGTTACTACACACTGTGTCATTATATCATTCTTACTTTTCCTGTCCCAGGTCCACAGGAAGAAATTCCAATAGGAATAGGTGGTCCCTTTGTACTTTGATTTTATAAATGTGTAGTCCTTTATGTTGTATGTGTGTACATAAATAAATAAGTAAGTAATCGTACTCGTATCGATTACTTTAAACGCAAGACTAACTTGTACTAAACTTTCTGGTAGACCGCTCTTTGATAAACTAGCTACTTCAACATGGTACATTTTGCTCGGCTCCTATAGACATAAGGGTGATGTTTTATAGCCTACAGCCATCCGCGATAAATGAACTATCCAACACAAAAATAATTATTCAATTCGAACTAGTAGTTCCAGAGATTAGCCCGTTCGAACAAACACAAACTCTTCAGCTTTATATAATAAAAGGTTAAGATTATATGTATAGAAGAGGCTCAATCTGGCAGTGGCGTGTCATAGACTGTTGATGATAATCATGATTGGTACTTACTTGGACAATCTATGAAACTAATGCAATTTCTTTAGTAAAATAAATCTAATAAAATAAAATAAAAAATCAGTTGTAACACGAAGTCTGGAATTGTACTCGGTACGGTCAGCATCAAAAGTCGATGACCACGTTCAAATTTTCAAAATCACTGTACATTATATCACCCATAAATCGCTTAACTAGAGAGGGCGCTAATATTGAATAAACATCTTTAAAGTTCAAAATTAACTGAACACTACTCGTCAAAGGTCACTGAACACCATTTTGTCAAAAATTGCTGACCGTTATAATATCCGAAAACATCATATCATTAAGTTTTACAAAAGTCACTGAACAATATAAAATGCTTGTTTTGGTTATCCAGTGCAATCACAGCAACGTACAAAAATAACTTAACATCATTAATAACAAAAGTTACTGAACATTACTTTGTTTCGGATTTGTAGCGTGTAAATTTATACCATCAAAAGTAGCTGAACTGCAAACTAAAAACCGTTGACGATGTTGCTGTATTACGATTGAATAGTAACCATATTTGACTATCAAAAATCACGCAGATTCTGTTTGAATTTATACCATAGCGTAATTATTTATTTTATTCGTAAAGCAATAAGACTCATTTTCAAAAATCACGCAGATTCTGTTCAAATTCATACCGTCGACTTAGTTTATTATTTCTATACTTACGATTGAATTAGAACCTAATCTGTATACATATAAGACTAATTTTCAAAATTACCACAAATTCCGTTTTAATTCAATTGTTTGGGAAACATAGTTGTGATTATTTGAAAAATGTTTTACCCTTGAATGTAAAAATAATATTGCTACTTAATTATCACTTTGTATCGGATGTAGACCATTGTGGTTAGTCGCGGAGAACCTAACGGGTAACCCGAACGGGGGCTCCGGCTCGACATGCAGGAGAAGGAACGGGGTGTTTTTTAGTCAGTAAGAGTCTGACACTCCCTCCCGCCTCACCCAGGCGGGAGCAATCATTAGATAAAAAAAAAGACCATTGTGATTGCAATTATTTTTCATCTATAAATATTGTATTAGTTATCAATTGCGCTTTAGTAACAAATAAACATTATAATGCCAATTAATCTTCATATTACTGCACATGAACGTCACTGAATAGTGATATTGCGTGACTAAATCACGCCATAGAAATATGGGAACATTTTAGGGGACGAGATACTTGTGTAAATATAGTAAACTCCATACGAGAACGTCTCCAAAATGTCATCGATGCCAATGGGGGGACACTAGGTTTTAATTTTAAGTGGTTCAAATTTAATCATAATTGTAATTGATAAAAAATCATACCATGTTTTTTTTTATAAGACATTGATTTGATTATGAAAGTTTAAAATATTTTATTACTAGCGACCCGCCCCGGCTTCGCACGGGTGCAATATGTATATACATACAAACCTTCCTTAAGAATAACTCTATCTATTAAAAAAAACCGCATCAAAATCCGTTGCGTAGTTTTAGAGATCTAAGCATACATACGGACATACAGCGAAAGCGACTTTGTTTTATACTATGTATTGATGCTTGTGTATATTTGTAATTAAAACAAATAATAATTATCTGTTTTGATTTATCGAACCATTTAATTTAATTTTGTTGATAATGAATAAAAGGTTATATACATGTAATAATTTACATGTGCATGTGTCTACCTTATTTTACTACCAAACACACATACCTGCCGAAAAAAAAACACACACATATTAAACACAAAATGTCATTTCATTTTGTTCAGGGACTTTAGAGATGAAGAATGTTTTCCTTTTTTTACTATAACTTTGTTTAGCAACTTTTGAAAAGTAATGGTCACCTACTTATGCCCTTTTATGATAATCATTCAATTCTGGCGCTTGTCATGTTGAGCGATTTAGGTCTAATACGGTGTACAGCGATTATGAAATTTTAAATGTAGTCATCAACTTTTGATGCTGACTGTACATGGCAATAGGCTCATCTCCTATTACATGGGACTCATAATATAAATAGTGAAAAGTGGGCGTTACATTGTACAGTGGCATTAAGTGCCGTAATAATGTTATGTTAACACATCTAATTTCGATTTATATTTATGTTACAGTGGTGTTGACCTGCAGAGGTCAGCGGCCAGCCTCCTTGCCTTTCGGTTCAGACAGCTTCAGGACTATAGTGAGGGGACTAAGCAGTAAGTATCACATTCACACATAACAGCGGATGTCGGGATGCTTTAAACCGGTTAGACACTTTTTCAATAGGTAGAGATTTTGTGCATTTTCTATCGCTGATACCACGGACGTGCTCTGAGGAACTGTTTGACCTGATACCTGCCGCATCTTTTCGCCATCGACCCTCACAACAGCATATACATCCCCATCATATAGATAGTTGGCAGGCCACAACTGTGCGCTCACGTAGCTTTCTGCCTTGCACAGCAAAACTATGGAATGATCTGTCGTCGGCGAACCGAACAGATACGACCTTCAAACCTTCCAGAAAAGAGCGTATTCCTTTTAAAAGGCCGGCAACGCACCTGTGACTCCTCTGTGTCCATGGGCAGCGCTGATCGCTTACCATCAAGTGCCCGTCTGCTGGTTTGCCTCCTATTCCATAAAAAATACATGATATAGGTCAAATGAGATATAAACCTAGAGTGTGCCCTAGGTAAGTACCTCATAGGCGCCTCTAATTTATTTTTGTCGCCGCTGTCACTATGGGCACGCATATTTTGTTAATGCTTATGTTTTTACAATAACGTATTTTCCAATTTTTATTGCAATTATAAAATAAACACCTTGTTCAATCCTTTTTAATCGATAAAAAGTATGATGAAACCAAAGTGTTCATTTCTGTCATACGACAATAACAATATTGAGCCCAGGTTTTGTCTTAATCTACTTTACTCCCCCTGTAATCCCTGCACCGCTCCGCAAAATATAGGTATCGAGGTAGTATAGAGGTAGATTATCTTAACAAAATTCTTAACTTTTACAGCCGCTCCTGGCCGTTCAGCAGTAGTTGACGACATAATCATCCGATATTTCAGGTAAGCCATTACGACAAACTACCTCTTGATTACAGTAATAAGGCATTGTTTTCATTGTATTAGGTCAAACAGTTTGGAATCTAAGTAATAGTGTAAGTGGACTATTTGTCTACAATACAAACAAATTGTTACTTATATAACGTTTTGAAAATTGGATGGTAAATACCTTACGTAGGTAGCTATTTATGACATTATATAAAAATGAGGGCGTGAGCCATTTAGTTTGTTTTATTAAAACTTTCGTAAGATATATTGAAATAATTATTATGTTTTATTTAACTATCGACCAATAAGTCTAGTATCTCATTTATATAAAGTGTTCATCAAGGTAACAGAAAATAGAATATCTGGCACATTAGACCAACATCAACCGGCCGAGCAGGCAGGCTTTCGACGCGGCCTCTCTACAACGGACCACCTACATACTCTGAACCAGATTATAGAGAAATATTTCGAATTCAATCTCCCTCTATATAGAGGTATAGCATTCATTGATTATTCCAAAGCTTTCGACAGTCTCACCCATTCATCAATATTCACAGCACTAAACAACCAAGACATCTACCCCACCTATATCAATTTGCTTCAGAACATTTACCGCGAAAGCACTGCAGCAATTAGACTTCACAAACCCGGCCAATCCTTCCCTATTTCTAAGGGAGTCAAACAAGGCGACCCGCTATCTCCGAAACTCTTCACTGCAACCCTTGAAGAGGTCTTCAAAAAGCTTGCGGCGTGCTGGAGTACAAGGGGGTGGTCATCGAAGAAAAGAGGTTAACAAACCTCCGTTTCGCCTATGACATAGTACTCTTCTCTTCTTCAGCAGCCGAGCTAGGCAATATGAGCAACGATCTCAGCAGGGCCAGCCTTGAGGTGGGATTGAAGATGAACATGTCGAAGACCAAACTAATGACCAACAGCATAAAATATAGGTTAGAGGTAAATGGCGCGGAAATGGAATACGTCCAAGAATATATCTATCTGGGCCAACTAGTTTCTTTCCAGGCGAGACAAGATAGAGAAGTTGCAAGACGCACCGAAAATGCCTGGAAGAGCTATTGGTCCATGAAAGACCTAATGAAAGGTAATCTTCCATTAGCGCTCAAAAAGAAACTCATGGACGTGTGCATTCTGCCCATCCTCACCTATGGCGCTCAAACTTTGTCTTTGACAAAACATCAGAAATCCAAACTCAAGGTTTGTCAGCGGGCTATGGAGCGCAGTATCTTAGGAGTTCGACTATCGGACAGAATTAGGAACACCACGCTGCGCTCCACATCTAAAATCGTTGACGTTGGCCATAAAGCCGCAGGCTTGAAGTGGAACTGGGCTGATCATGTCTGCCGCATGTCACATGAGCGGTGGGCAAAACTTACTACTGAGTGGAGCCCACTCAACGTCAGTAGACGTCGCGGCAGGCCCAAAAGGAGATGGCGGGACGAACTAGACATCTATGACAAGGATTGGCCGCAAAAAGCTTTACATAGAGAGGAGTGGAAGGAGGGTAAGGAGGCCTTTGCCCTGCAGTGGGACGATCATGGCTGAAAATAAATAAAATAAATTATGTTTTCGGCTAACTTACGTACTTATTCGACGAGGAACTCGACTAGTTTTAACTTATGTTAGAGGCTCGTATTCATCCAATTTTTTTAAGGGGGGAAAATCATCGAATGGCTGCTCCCGCCTGGGTGAGGTGGGAGGGAGTGTCAGACTCTTACTGACTAAAAACCACCCCGTTCCTTCTCCTGCACGTCGAGCCGGAGCCTCAGTTACCCGTTAGGTTCTCTGCGACTCCGAATCGGCATCGGCCCTATTGGGCCCCATCTGTGGTGGTCTGATGGCTCTTTGAGGCGCGCACGGAACGCAACGCGCTGTACGCTCGGGTCTGTTTCTGGTCGGACGGGGAGCCACCCATGCTCGCCGTCCGCAGGCCCGCGCTTACGGTGGCCGGAGATCGTCCCGCGATCCCCGACGCCCGGTGTGTCCTTCGCGATGGCTGGGTTGCGAGGAGGCAGCGCTTCGCTGCCTCACGCGTCCCGCCTCCTCCTTAGCTAGCATGACTGCTTCGCAAAAGGAGGAGACGGCATCCCAGTCCCCCTCGCTCCGCATCATGGCCTGCACTAGGCCCGGACGCGAGAGGTCGCCATCGCCGATCACTTCCCTGAGGGCACGGCGGTGCTCAGCCCACGCAGGGCATTCCGCTACAGGTATTCATCCAATAGCAATGCGACCGTCGCTGCGTCGCTAGTCGCGGAATTCCGCTCATGAATATGAGCCTCTGGCATGGCTTGAAACTAGTCGAGTTCTTCGTCAAACCATTACGTGAGTAAGACGAAAACAAAATAATTAATTATGTTAAGTTAATAAGGTCTACTGTTCTTTAAATGGTTTGACCTTCGTTTGGTAGAGTGATCACAAATGCCATCGAGCACGAAGACTTGAGTTGCCAGTCTGCTAAGCGTGGAAATTATGGCAAACTCTCATGTATATAGAGGAGGCCTTTGATATAGAGACCTGCCACGAGTTGATTATATTGATGACGCTTATACTTTTGGACTTTGCCTATTATTAATATGTTGATACTGCCTCGTTGGCCGAGTGGTTGCAAGTGCGACTGCCGGGCAAGGGGTCTCGGGTTCGATTCCCTTGTCGGGCAAAGTATTATTGGGTTATTTAAAAATTTTCAGTGGGCGCACGGAGTCTGGAATTCTGCCCGGTGTATGGCAATAGGCTCGCCCTCTATTACACGGGACTCATAACATAAATAGTGAAAAGTGGGTGTTACATTGTGCAGTGGCATATTGCGCACCTTTGCCTATAAAATCTCTAAATCTCTGTCAATAAAAGGCGTGATGTTATGATGATGATGAAATGTATGATAATTCATATATTGTTGTATTGTTAAGAAAGACTTCAGATACATATGTAATTAGAGCCGGATTGAACGTAGAGGCAAGGCAGGCACCTCACAGGCGTTCCTGAATCCTGAGCGTGTCAAAGTCAAAATCATTTATTTCAATTAGACTAGGAAGGCACTTTTGAACGACTGGCTGGTGTGACTTTGTGCCCAGAGCTGTCTTAGATCACGCTAGGGCCCTTGGGCACAAAATAATCGGGACGTTTTTGGAACGTCTCGTTTTTTAACGTTGCCCCACACTAGGATTATCTTCTGTGTCGTGGGTGCATTTACTAACATACAAGTTCACATACACATGACACCCAGACCTGAAACAACAATTTGTGTATCACACAAAAATTTGATTCGCGTGGGAATGGAACCCGCTACACGTTGCATGGCAGCCGCTTGCCGCGCAACATGTAGCAGTGTATATCCGTTGTAGATAATGTCGGTGTTTCGGGCCCCCCTGATGTTGGGGGCCATGGGCACGGGCTCCGAGTGCCCTTAAATCCGGTACTGTCCTAGGCACTCACCTAGTTGGTCTTAGGAATAATGATAATAGGGCTCTGTATGTTACTGTGTTTTTCCAGTACAAATGTGACGTCTCCGAGTTCTTACCGTATCGCCAACATCAAGGCGGTGCTGTCAGACCCAGCGTTTGACGTCAAGAAACCAACTGTACTTTACGCACATGGGTGAGTGACGCAACTATTTTCTTATTCTATTTTTTTAACTGTTAGTTGAATGGTCGCGACACCTCGGTAAAGCAAAGTTTGTCAGCAAAAATCCAGGTCCTAGTCATGCTTTTCGATATTTGATATTCTTCGTTAACACTGGCAATTAGATAGCCTCCTGTTACTATAGAAAAGTTGGGATTACATTTGATGAAATTATGCATGTATAGGTATGCACCAGAATGCCTATTATATCCTTCATTCCCACTTGAGCAAAATCTTACAAAATGATTGATGGCTAGTGTTTTAGACTATTAAGTAACTGCTTTCAGATATGAAATGTAAAACCGTATATTTTTATTTGCAGTACGAAGGAGATATACTAATAAATTCTTTCTTAACTAAAAATCGCGAGTTACTCACGTGAAAATACTGAGCAATGCTCTACTAATTTCGAACCGCAGTAGGCTGCGCGACATCGCCGCGACCGCACACGCTGCTCATGAGGAAGAACCCCTCTGTGGTTGGAAACTTACTAGTTTCCAACCACAGAGGGGTTCTACTACTGTAGAGCTATTCTCAGCATTTTCACGTGAGTAATAGGTCTCACGTACGATAGTCATTATAAAACAAATTCTTCCTTGTCCTCAGCTACGTGGAACTCCTGACAGACGACAGCTTAAGGACCGTAGTATCTGCTTACCTTAAACGCGGCGGGTACAACATACTGGTGCTGGACTGGTCCAATCTCGCCTTCGGGAACTATGTCGTCGTAGCCAAGACCTTACCACATGTAAGACGATTAATTAATCGTTAGGTTATTGGATATTAATAAAAGAAACAATGCGGGGATTGACCTCAGCGAGAATATTGCAGTTATTTACTAACAATAGGTATACCGGGGCAGGATCAAGAAGCAGGAGTAGGAACAGGGTGGTTTTTAGTCAGAAGAGTCTGACACTCTCACCCTTTCTCGCCTAACCCCAACGCAGAAGAAGTCATTGGGTGATTATCCCCCTCTCGCGGCTTAACCGATTTTGATGCGGTTTTAGAAGGTTTTAGTATATTAATTAACCGTTGAAGTCGGTTTTTTTAAACGTAGTTCAGAAAACAATTGTGTAAAGATATTACCATGTTGAGCTGTAACAGATTTTCAACTTGGGATAACGTTATATAAATTAACAGCTTACAAATGACTTATGATCTGCTCTGTGCATAATTTCAGCATTTTGCAAAACCAATGACATCAAGGTGTATACCAAGGTCGTAGGCAGTTGTGTTACTGCTTGAGAAATAAGTACAAGTTCTTTTAAATTTTGAAACGAAATCTTGCGTTATTTTGGTTTGAAACTGATATAATCTGCAGTATATTGCGAATGGACGTATCTCAAACAGCTTCGCGTTCAAAATCAATAAAATAATGTTGAATTGCTTTCAACCGGAATAAAACTGTGTACCTGGGTGATGAAACCAGTGATAAACGTTTAACGATTAATAAATACAATAAAACTGGTAACTAGTGACGTAAAAGTGATGAAAACTTAAATACATCGACCTAGTAGAAGTGACAAACTGTAAACATATTTAAAATAAACCGAAAACATTTAAGTGCAGTGTGTTGTAAATAATAGCTACCTAATTAAGTGATAAACTGCCTTTACGTAAACAATAAATAATGAAAAAACAGTGAAAAAAAAAAAACGGTGACTTTAAACACAAAGACAATCTAAACCGTTTCATATCCGTCACAATAAATATAAAGGAATTGGACTTTGAACTCACGTGACACTCAACATCGTCGTTACCTGCGACTGCGACAAGTACCTACATTAGCAGCTAATGCTTCCATATTTCAATACATTTGTTAATGTACGCATGGCAGAGCGGTAACTGTATACGCTTTCGGATTCGTGCGCCCTGCGTTCGATCCTCGCTTAAACATTTGGCTTTTTGAAGGTTTTGTTGCTATTATTTATTTACCATTTAATATTAGAAACAACTAACATGAATTTCTTCGAAAATATCACATTGCGTCGAAACCGGTCAAAATCATTGTCAGATACTACAGTGATCGACGTTAGTTGTAACGATGCATCACTAGATGGCACCACCAGCAGTATGCCCATCATATCAGATGACGAGGACAACGATAAAGTACAGGATTTACAGCGGGAACTTGAAGAATTAAAGGCGCAACTCTCGGCAGCACATGACGAAATAAATAATTTGTCTGTGGAGAATACCGAATTAAAACAGACCATTTCCATTTTAAATAATAAATATCAATTAGTGAAGGGTGCCACAAGAAAATTGACCAGTGAAACTGTAACGCCTAGGAAGAACGTTAGAGTGCCAACTCCTAGCAAACAACAACATTGTGGAAATAACTTGGATCCATTAAAATATGCCAGAAGAGTATCTACAAGTAACAAAGTAAAAACTACTTTACACTTTGATAAAAAAACATCGGGCTCGTCTCAACACCCAGTCAACAAAAACAAATTGTGTATAATCAGCAGTAACAGAGCCAATAAAGTCTTATCAATAGCACAAAGTACCTTTTCAAACTTTCAGATCTGTCATTATATCACAACCAACTGTGGAGTTGGTACCCTTGTTAATAATTTAGACACAAAACTAAATGATTACACAAAGAAAGACTATTGTATAATTCTAATAGGTAGTGAGGATTTTAACACTACTAATAATTATTCTGATATAATTTCGAATGTCAGGGAAAAGCTAATAATGTTGTCACACACAAATATAATTCTATGTTTACCCACTTATAGGTGCAATAATTACTCCAATATGTTCAACTGGAGAATTGAAATGTTCAATAGCTTACTATACCATGACATAAACATTTATGACTATGCTGTAATATTTGACTCTAATTTGAACTTGTTGTATGATCATACTATGTTCTCAATTGGCAGTGGGAGATTGAATAACTATGGAATGAAAACTGTTTTTGATTACTTGAAGTACCAACTTCTCGACTCTGACATCTCAAATAATATAATATCCCCCGAAACTGAAAGTCCGCAATCTAAAACTGACACTAATGCCTCTCTTTTTCTCGAATAAATTTCTAAACATATTGCACCAAAACATTGCTGGATTGTTGAAAAAAGCTGATGCTCTTACCGTTTGTTTAGACCAATTACTTTCAGAGAATAATATGTCTGTAGATGTTATCTGTATTACTGAACATTTTGTAATGAAGGGTCTTGAGGACCAGTTATATTTACCAAATTATTGCTTGGCTGCCTACTACGGGAGAAATGAAATAAAAAGAGGTGGAGCATGTATACTAGTACAAAAGGGGCATCAATGGAAGGAATTGCCTGGAATTGCTAAGATCTCATCGCCAGGCGTTCTTGAGTGTTGTGCAATCGAACTAATCCATTATAAAATAATAATAGTTTGTATTTATAGGGTGCCAAATGTCAGTAATTTTAATGATTGCCTAAATAAATTAGAAACCATATGTATGGAGGTAACAAAATCACGTCAAAAAAAAATTGTCATTGCTGGTGACTTTAATATTGACATGCTTAAATCAAATAACCAATCAGTTTCGTTTGAATGCTTGCTTCTAGGTTTTGATTTGAAATTGGCACTGAAACAACCGACTCGTATTGCTAGCATGACATGCATAGACAACTTTGCACACAATTTTAAAAAATCATGTAAAGCCACTGTGTTTGATTTTGCGTTGTCTGATCACACTGCTCAACTGCTTCAATGCCGCGTCGATAAAGTATGCGTGGGTAAATACTGGTATATAACCCGAAGGGATTATGATAAGGGAAATGTTAATAAATTTATAGAATGTTTAAATAGTATATCCTTTTCAGAAATTTATAGTACCGACGACCCTAATTATGCTTATAATGCTTTTATTGATACTTTCAAATTACTATATGACTTATGTTTCCCGATTGTCGTGACCAAACGAAATATTATAATGACCCCGAAATGGCTGTCCCGCGGTGTGAAGCTATGTAGTAGGAAAAAGAGGTCACTCTTGTGGCAACTAAGATTACATCCTAACCAATCTAATAAAATGACTTATGTAAACTACTCCAAACTATATAAAAAAATTATTAATCTCACACAAAAATCACAAAATAATCACAAGATTCACTTATCCAAAAACAAATCTAAAACTACTTGGCAAATCATAAATCAGACTAAACAAAACATTACTAAACAATATATAAATAGTATTAAAATCGATGACAATACTACAATTATTAACCCTATTGACATATCTAATGCTTTTAACAATTATTTTATTGACAAAATTCAGCCAATACTTAACTGTCACACTAAACCAAAGCCACACGGGATAAGCGCTCAGCAGAATTCTATGTTTCTTGCACCAAGTATACCATATGACATACTTAAAATAATTAATTCACTTAAGAATACAAATAGCGTGGGTTACGATGGTATATCAACAGAGATACTTAAAAGAGTGGCTCCCGGTATATGTAGTCATCTGAGTCATATTTTGAATCTTAGCATTTGCTCAGGTATCTATCCAGAGGCCTTAAAAATATCCATTATAAAACCATTATTTAAAAAGGAAAATAGGGAACTCATGGAATATTATAGGCCTATTGCGCTTATTCCAATTATATCGAAAATATTTGAAAAATATATATATAGAGAGACTTATAAATATTTAGAAAAAAACAAGTTATTGTGCTACGAACAGAAAGGATTTAGACAGGGTAAATCAATTAATATGGCAATATTTGATTTTATAAGGGGCGTCATAAAGCATGTAGATGAACGTAAACCGGTATGTGCCATTTACTGCGACATGACACAAGCGTTTGATTATGTACACTTTGATACACTCGTGAATAAACTTGAAGCCTATGGTATTAGAGGGAACACTCTAAGCTTAATAGAATCTTATTTACGTAACAGAAAACAAATAACTGAAATATGTAGAATGAATGAAAATAATTACGAAGAAACTTTTCGGTCGTCTGAACGTGAAGTTAGATACGGAGTACCACAGGGGAGCGTTCTGGGGCCGTTACTTTTTATATTGTATATAAATGACCTTCCGAAACACGTTGGTCAACCATTAACTCTGTTTGCCGACGATAGTACCATAACTATACCCTGCATTGATCCTAAATTATATGAAAATGATATTAATAATGCTCTAGCGACAGTCATAACATGGTTAAATAACAATAACTTAAAAATTAATCTAACAAAAACAAGCGTAATGCATTTTAGCCAAAGAATACCCAGTAAAAACCTCAACGTGAATTATAACAATAAAGTAGTGGATAAAGTTGCAAGCACTAAATTTTTGGGTTTGGAAATAGATCAAAATCTGAACTGGAAATCACATGTAGTCAAGGTTTGCAAGAAACTAAGTAAATCCGCATATGCCTTACATGCATTATCGTTGAAGGTTTCTAAGGAAGCGCTTCTTACCGCCTACTACGGTTTAGCTGAATCCCATCTTCGTTACGGGGTTATATTCTGGGGTAATTCAACCGACAAAGATATGGCATTCAAGGCCCAAAAAAGGTGCATTCGGTCAATGTATAAACTAAACACTACTGATAGTTGTTACCCGTATTTTAAAGAACTTAACATTTTAACATTACCGTGTATTTATATAATGGAAATGGCTATGTTTGTCAAGTCAAATCCACATTATTTTAAGAAAATGAACGACGTAGTAGCACGAAGTAGACGAGACGATAGTCAACTATGTCTTCAAAGAGCGAAGACAACACTAATGGGCAAAAGTGTCTGTTGCATGGCACCTAAAATCTTTAATAAATTACCTAAATCCTGGAGAAATTTGAGTATGTCAATATTAAAAAACAAATTGAGAAAATTATTAGTTGACAAGGCATATTACAATGTTGCAGATTTTCTAATGGACAATGGAATAGAATAATATTTTAAATAGGTACTAAATAACTTGGACATCTCATCTATTTTACTATGACATTTCTTAACTTTAATCTTTTGACATCGTACCTATATTTTGTTAATGCGACTATTTTAATTTCTGTAATCAATTTAATAAGTACATTGCATAATATTGATTTTATTTTATATAATTTTATTCTTTTAATTATCTGTTAATTCATATTTGCATGCCTCCTGGTAAAATATGGTTGAGCTCGCAATGTACCTAAACACCACATATTGTATTACCCATATTTGCAAATAAACTATCTTTATCTTTATCTTTATCTTTATCTTTAATTACCCGTTTATCCGTCTGCCAGACTGTGCAAGGATGGTTTAAGTTATTTAACAAAATGAATGACTTGTTTTACAATTATTATTGTTGTATTTTCATAATGCCATGCCATGCTTCGATCTGAATAACGGTAACGTCTCTGGTGTTGCGCGTGTCCATGGGCGACGCCGATTGCTTACCATCAGGTGATCCGTCTGCTGGTTTACCGGCTTACAACATAAAAAAATGTTATTGGGAGATATTCAAATTGCTTTTAATGACGTGTCTTTGACTGTGGAATTCTTTATTGCGAATTTGATTCTCACTTAAGATAAGGTAAATATAAGAAGCTGGTGTGAGTGAATTTGGTTAACTGTAGGTATGCTGTAAGTTTGATGTTGCATTGTTGTATCTTTTATTTCACACTAATATTATAAATGTGAAAGATTTTTGTTTGGATGTTCTAATGTTTGTCCGTCAGTCACGCTGATACTACTGAACGGATTTTGATGAAATTTGGTATACAGTACAGATAGTTTAGGGAACAGAGAGTATAGCTCTCTAAGATCGGAAAAGGAGGATCCTCCGACCAAGCGAAGTGAGCGTGTCTGGCAGGCTTTCTGCCCGACAGATATTCGTTGAGATTTTCTATCCGTGTTAATTTGGATGTAAACTTTGCAGGTGCGATGTAGGATTTCTGTGACATCATTCGTTGACATGTACCATGTGCCGCCACAATAGCATCCGGCTTAAATGCTCCCATGGCATAAAACAGAAATAGGCGAGCAAAGTCGCGGGTAGAACCTAGTAAGAAATAGTTCTAGTATGGCATATTTTGTTTTGTATACGAAGGCTCTCAGCGGAAATTAATGAATATTAATTTTGTATTTACTGTTACATGTATATCTGAAGGTTGCTATTGTTATACCTAAATATTAATGAGGTTATATGTTTCTTATTATGTTACGTAATAGTGACCCTGTCTGGCGACCTCAGTTGTCAGTTCATAATACAAAACTTTAATAAATCTACCTAAAAATGTAATTTACGCGAATATTAACTAAAATCGCGGGTTACTCACGTGAATATACTGAGTTAAGCTTTGAATACTATTTTAGAACCACAGAGGGGCTCTTCCTTCATGAGTATCGTGTGCGGTCGCAGCGAGTGCGCGCAGCGTGAATATTACCTAAATTAAGTTGTTTTTTATTAAGTAATAGTTCATTTATAAACTACGTTTAAAAACCCCCTCTTTTTTAAGTAAATTTTATATCAGTTTGTTTTTTTGAACGCGCTGATCTCCGTAACTACAAGTCTGATTTGAATAATTATTTTTGCATTACATAGAGCATTTATCGAGGATGGCTATAGGCTATAAAACTTCACGCTACGACCAATAGAAGCTGAGCAGAGCGTGTGAAACTGCGCGGAAGTAGCTAGTTAATATATACTATATGTATATGTTCTACCTAAAACCTTCTCTCAAGTGTAACAAACACTTCAGAAAACCGCATCAAAATCTGTCCTCGCTAACTCGCTAAAAATGAGCACTATGCGCACCTTTACCTATCTGGTCATATTGCCTTTTAACTGACTTCCCAAAAAGGAGGAGGTTCTCAATTCGTTGTACGTTTTATGTGACCAGGTTTTAGGTATATAAGCATACCTACAGTTACAGCTGACAAATTTATTAAATATCTGTAGAGCATTTTATTGAACTAGATGTTGCCCGCGAGTTCGTGCGCGTAGAATATGATTCCTGTTTTATACCATGGGAGCATTTAATCGGAATAAAAAGGACTATCACCTAAGTCAGCTAATGCCGTGTATACCAAATTTTATCGTTTATTAGTATCAGCGTGATTGACGGACAAACATATAAACAAAGAAACTCCCACATTTATAATGTTAGTGTCATTAATCAAATTTTATTCTATTTTATATCCCAGGTGGGAGAATTCGTTGGCAAATCAGTATACAAGTTGGTAAAGCAAGGGTTACCAGTTCAGAACCTGCACCTGGTCGGCCACTCTCTGGGCAGCCACATCTGTGCTTATATCGCGAGGTATCTCTCGGCGAGAGGATCTAAAGTACCCAGGTAATGGTACATTAGGTATAAACTTTTTTGCTAGTTTGGTTTTTCGATTCTGTCTTTTATTGTACAACAATATTAAACTAACTGTTCCCCGCGGCTTTGCCTGCATGCTTAAAGGGAAAACGTAGCTTTTATCACTCACCAGCCTATCGCCTGCCACTATTATATATCGTAGTGAAGAAAGACAAATAAATATTTTTTTCATACAGGTTCGACAATCAAATGGCACCAGTTGATCGGCAAGGTTCCAAAAGTTATAAGAAATTTGTTAAAAAAAATTAGGTGATTATAATCTAAAATAAAATAAACAATACTTTTTCCAAAAAAAAAAATCCAAAACAGATAATTTTTTAATTACAATGATTGTACATTACTATGATGCCGATCACCTGGTGCCATTTGATCGTCGACTTCAGCGTCGACTTTAGACGATCGGCCACTCTGTATAATATTATGAACTAACGATTTTACCTTAAGTTTGACTCCTGTAGTAATAAACCAGGTATGTAATACAGTGTTTTATATACAATTGGAACAAAAATAATAAATTACCTTATCAAACTATGTTGTAACAAAATATTTTCGATTTGGTTTACAACATGCAATGATTCACGTAAATGACATACCATTAAGTTCATTATAAGTATTGTACATTGCTAATTTCGAACAAGCTCGCCTTGACCTAAGAGAATTTCCAAACTTACTGTAAGCCCTATAAGAAAAATAATTTTACATATTTGAGCGCCTGATTTTAATTTAATATCAAGTAACAACTGTTAAATAACTTGTGAATAAAATAAAAACATAATTTAAACTAATACTATCCAATATCTACTTTAACTTAAGGTATTAGGCTATCTATTTAGTTAAGTGGTCGCAAGTAGAAAGAAGACTTGGTTTAATTCCCGGGTAAACTAATGGTATAGCAAGTATTTTAAATATTACAGGTTAACCGGTTTAGACCCAGCGTACCCAGGTTTCTACCCACCTTTAGCAGCACCACCTATGACTCCAGAAGACGCAGATTTTGTGGACGTCATCCACACGGACGGTGGAGGGTATGGAGCTCCAGACTCCACTGGTCACGCTGACTTCTGGCCTAATGGGGGGCAGGCCAAGCAACCTGGATGTTTGTCTGCTACCATATTTCTTAGCAATGAAGGTATTACTAGTTTCAAGATAATTCAAATTGGTTCTTGTTAGGTATTGGAAAGAGTGCTAAAGTATATGTCTGTTTTTGCTGTTTTTACCGCTTCTAAATCAATTGACTTTAAGGGTAGATATTTGCTAAGCATAAATTGTCTTTAAAAATCTAATTTTGTAATTGATTCGGGTTTAAGTGTGATGTGCTTGTGAAATAATGTGTTTGTTAATGCACCGAAATACACAGAAGAAACCTATGTTAAATAAAATACGCTGGAATTTCCAGACTTTTGTAGTCACTGGCGTTCATGGGAGTTCTGGTCTGAGTCCCTGCTGAGGGATGACTTCCTGGCGCGTCCGTGTGCGGACTACGACACCTTCCTCCGAGGACAGTGCTCGGATCAGCCCCTTGTATTTATGGGGATACGGTCAACACCGGAGTAAGTTCACTTTTTTCAATTTTCCCTGAAGAATTAGATAGAGAAATAAACCCTTCTCTATTATGATATTAGTTGCCTATTACCAGGGGCACAATTATAGGCATTTTTTTATTTTAGGCAACGTTTGTTAATTATTAAAAGTTTCGTAAGCCATACCTACTAATTAATTATTATGTTTTCGGCTTACTCACGTAACTGTTTGACGAGGACCTCGACTACTTTCAAGCCATGCTAAAGACTCATATTCATGAGCAGCATTCTGCGACCCGCGACACATTAAGCCAAAACATAATAATTAAACGTTTTTCAAATTTGCATTACTGAGATTTAATAGGAAAAACGTTTTTACTATTTAAAGTGTATTTTACATTATACTCTTTAATAACTTGGTATTTTATCAGCATTTTAAATATTTACAGTTTGCGTGGCAACTTCTATTTGATTACCGGAACGAAGTCACCGTTTGGACTCAACGTGAGAGGAGCTAG